AGAAAGAACTTTAACCTTAAAAGATACTTTTCGAAGCACACTGCCAACAATCCGATGCATCAAATAATCGTAAACAGAAAATCATTTCTCATTTTAGTGAATTCTGTTTTCTATTAGTCTTCAGTTGAAACGTATTTTAGGCACTCAAATCTGTGTCCGTTTATAAAATCCCAACTTAAAATCTTCCTTTTATCTTCCACGTTGACAAGAAAACGCCTCTCTAAACTCTGATGAACATTCATAAAATGTACACGTTTTCTACAAAGCACACTTGTTGCTGCTCGTTCTCACACAGTTTGTGTTACTTTGTGCGCTGCAGTGTTTCCTGGCGGCTCCAGACGCAGAAGCAGTTTGCGTAAACATCAGTCCCAAGGGAAAGAGCAACCTCCAAGGTCTCGTCTTCACCTTAGAGCTCCAGCCTTTCCCTTGTACGAGTTAAATCCTGCCTTTGTCTCTGACAGCCTCTCTGTTTGTTTATCTCCTCTCTGATTCTCCATCATGGACTCAGTTTCTCTTTCTGTTCTTCGGCCATCTTTGATGTGCGCCACCAGCGTTTAATCCCTTAGGCTAACACAACACGATTCGCCGAGCTGAAAGGCCGTACATCTGTGCCGTGTTTTCACGAAGGTTTACAACAGTGAAGGACCGATGGCTCCCCTTCTGTCTAAAGTTATGAATATTTAAACCGTCACAGACTCTCAGCGGCGGTGGGTGAGTCGGCGTGCCACCAACAGTGGTCATGGAGCTGTTTATTCAAATCTGGCTGCAGGGGCGAGGAGCTGAAAACATGCATCTCAGTCAGCTTCTCTTTAAACAGCATGTAGATCAGACTGCAGCTGCCACATATTCACTTACTATCTCACCACTGAAAGACAAAAGGAGGGCGATAATGTTTTTACTTGTGTCCTTGTCTGCTCGTGTATTGTGTTGGCAAATTATCTCATGAACCACCACATGGATGTTGATGAAACATTTGTAAAATAAATGCTGGATGCACATCTTCATCTGATTACATATAGTAGTCAACTCAGTTCAACATGGCCGCCGTAGCTAATTGACTTAGTATTTAATTTTGCAGATAATGAGCTTAAATCTGGTGTGGTAGTAGCTGAGAGTCATCCCCAACACATACTCCAAATGTTGTGGTGTCCTTGAACGAGACACCTAACCCCCCAGGTGCTTACGTGACTGCCCACTGCTCACCTGGATGTATCTCAGGTGTGATGGGTTGTTAAATACAACGATGACAACACATCTTTCTTACGATTTACACCCGTGCAAACATGTCTGTATATTATGTTTCCATAATCCAACAGGGGTAGAATGTTTTTTCCAACAATGGTGCATAAATAGTTTAAAGATAACCAAGTCTGGCTTTAACCTATTGCAAAATATTAACATGATGTGAAAAGGACAGAGCTCCATTGATCCAAATTCACAAATATTTACAAACTGTTCTTCTTCTATAATATCACTGCTTACAGTGGTGAAGTCCACTGAGGTGGGTATGGTCCCTCCTCCATGACCGAACCACATACTTTTAATTTTCTTGGCATTTAAAGACAAATATAAGTCAGAAAGGCCTGCTGGATTTCAATAAAACCACATGCAAGGGACTTCACAACCTCATCGGGAGTAGAACCAAAAGCATTTAGAATAGTGTCATCATCGGCATATAAATGGATGGAGGCCTCACTACCAGAGTGTGAGATATTCATTCAACCTGTATTTATACAGGTTAATCCCACTGAGCCTCAGGGACTCATTTACAAGAGAGACCTGAAATAAGATATATAATAATATATAAGGAAAATATAAGAAATAAATATGAAAATATAATTTATAAATATAGAGAACAGAGTTGGACCAAGAATGGAGCCTTGGGGTACACCTGCCACAACCAGAAAAAACTGTGAAGCAGAACACACTTAAATGTTAAGGAGGTAACACAGTTACATCCAGTTTTATAATTAGGCCTATGTTCAAATGTCATTGACTCGTGCGTGCACACATAAAGTATTAAAAAAGTAATTTAAAGGTTGAGTTAAAAAACTTAGTATCAAGATTTTGTCAAAATCCTTATTTTACCCATATGTTACATCTCACCTCAGGACAGGGGTGAGCAACCTTTTGTTTCCAGAGAACCAAAGCGGGTTATTGAAATCAATCAAAGGACCAGACGGTGAACTGAAAATTAAATATTCTTTAAGGCAGATAATCTGAAAAACACTTCCACACTTTTTGCCGTTCTTTTCACAGTTAGCATGTTTGGTAAAGTACACGAGCCCCAACACTTTTTTAGGAATAAGATTTTCTGTAAACGCTCTTGTGACTACCTGTTAACTTAAAAACATTAATAAATTAATTAATAAAAGGTTGGGCGGCACGGTGTCTCAGTTGGTAGAGTTGTTGCCTCTCAGAGAGAAGGTCGTGGGATCAAATCCTGGCTGGGGGCCTTTCTGGGTGGAGTTTGCATGTTCTCTCCGTGCTGCGGGGGTTTCTCCGGGTACTCCAGTTTCCTCCCACAGACCAAAAACATGCATGTTAGGCTGATTGGTAACTCTAAATTGTCCCCAGGTGAAAGAGAGAGTGAATGGTTGTTTGTCTCATTTGTCTCTATGTGTCCCTGTGATGGATCAAAGACCTGTCCAGATGTCCCTGTGATGGACTGGAGACCTGTCCAGATGTCCCTGTGATGGACTGGAGACCTGTCCAG